CGTTAAATTTATGGTGATCACACTAATTCATTATGTTCATACCTTGTATATCTTACTAATCATTTGATTAAAACATCATAAATTTAACATTATGAACAATGGGATCAATATGTGACCACACTATATCCTGTTGCCTTCGGGACATCTCATGTCGCCATTGTCCATAGGGCTCCTCTGACATCTACTCAGGCAATTCTTCTTTGATTCACTCTCCCCATTTCCATCTCGCTTGATTTTGAACGTGATGAAACTTCTGGGCATATAGGGTTTTGTTTTGTCTGTCCCAATCTCAATCCCTTGAAACTGTTTGGTTGGATTCAGGTTCTACTGGTTCTAGGTGCTGCCGGCGGCGTCGGGCTTGCCGCCGTGCAAATCGGCAAGGCTTGTGGCGCCACTGTCATTGCTGTTGCCAGGTGAGTCGCGCTCAGGGTGCTCCCTGTCGTCTTCAATGGTGGTTTAGTTTCCTGGACAAACCCATGTTTCTGCAAAAGGCTATCTGTCATCTGATCGTATTATGCTTGGTTTGGTTCTGTGTCTTTTGTGAAGAGGGGCTGAGAAGGTACGGCTCTTGAAGTCCATGGGAATGGACCATGTTGTCGATCTGGGCAGCGAAAACGTTATTCTGAGCGTTAAGGAGTTTCTCAAGAAGAAAAAGCTCAAAGGAGTCGATGTTCTGTACGATCCCGTGGGAGGAAAACTCACCAAAGAGGCCATGAAGCTACTGAATTGGGGAGCTCAGATTTTGGTGATCGGTTTCGCTAGCGGCGAGATACCCGTCATCCCCGCAAATATTGCCCTTGTTAAGGTACATCATTCTCAGCTTCTTGTGAAAAAGCATTTGTTGGACCCCTTGAGAGAAATCACGAAATGCATTAGTAGTAGCCTTATCGGTATGGGGCATAACCCGAGTTCATGCTTACGAAAAGATCCATCCTAAATTATCAATGGATCATATAGACAGATCCTTCAGAGCCATCCCATGACCGAATATGCTCATAAAATGTTGTGGCTTTGCGGTACAGAACTGGACAGTGCACGGACTCTACTGGGGCAGCTACAGAATCCACCAACCTGATGTGCTCGAAGATTCCACAAGAGAGTTACTGTCATGGCTGTCGAGGGGATTGATCACCATTCACATCTCTCATACCCACACCCTCTCCCAGGTAAAGTCTGCATCTCTCGATTCTTCTTCATGGATGAAGATTCGACAATTTCATTGACGGGTTTGGGGGATTTTGTTGATCTGCAGGCCAATCTCGCCTTTGCGGCCCTCAAAGACCGGAAAGCCATTGGAAAAGTGATGCTTGTTCTTGACCACAAGATCTCTCCAACATCTAAACTATAAGTTGTTTTTAGATTCTAGCTTTGTCCCCTACCCAAACTAGAATCTTTCCTCCACATTCCAGATTTTCTAGTGGTTGCCCCCATCAATAAGTTCTTTCATGTGACAAGTTGCCTTCTCCTGCATGTTATGTACTTGGCACTGTGCAAACACTATGTAAAAAGAAACATGATGAATGAAGATACGTATTTGAATAGTTCAGCTTCCGCAGATGAGAGAAAGCCTGCATATCATGTGGAACATGCAAATGTTACATTGCTCGAACAAAAATGCAGGTCCATCAATCAGAGAGTAGCTTTGCAAGAATCAATAAAATCTTCCGCAGATTCATCAATCTATTTACAGCAATGATTATGTACATAGAACCCAAAGAATGAGCAATGTTGATGATGGATGATGGATCATGATGATGATGTTGTACGACTATCTTGGGCCGCTTTCGGCCCTTAGATACCGGAAATATTCGAGCCGAGTCATCTCTCCTCCGTTCACCGGGTCAAAGCTGCACCGATAGAAACTGGAAATCCGAAAGAAACATCTCTTGAGACTTTAACCTTTTAAGGATGTTCTGTGAAGGATTGTATGTCTGAAATCCAAGCCTAGCTTACCTTCCATCCATGCCGATAATGGCAACCGTGTTCTGACAGCCAAATGCTGCAAAGAATTGAGTGATTTCGGGTACACGGAACTGAGCGAATGACCATTCTGAGCTGAAATATTTTGGCAAGACTCCTGCAATAATAGGTCACGATGTGTTAATCCAGGCACACAATGACACAAGCACAAATATGAAATGTGTTCCTCTTATGGCAAAACTCCAACAACATGTCAAACATTTGGTGGATTTTCCTTTAATTCCTGCAACATTTCAGCATCTTATTACAAAGGCATAAACATTTTTTCCAGAAGTTCTACTCGGTTTCTATCTTACCTCTCATAAACGATAACGATGAACTGGGATTGGTACCAGTGGTTGGAGAAACAATGGCCCCAAGGGAATTCGAAAAAGTTTGCTGTGCCAAGAGTGCTGCACTCTCACTGGAATGTGAGTCCTCTCCGACCACTCTAACTCGTAGAGAGAAAACATGAACAGTCCCCTTATCACTTGACACTGCCAGCCACTGCACATTGGGTGAAAGAGCAATGCTATATATATCCGCTCTGTCCACTCCTCTTCGTACCTGCAAGGAAGCAGCCTTCAGTTCTATATAGCACAGGCATACTTGAAGTGTCGAAGTGCATCTATACTATAATCAGATCCTTATATCTACTAGTTTCATAAAGTTTGCAATTGAAGAGATGGGATTTCAATTGGGCATACCGTTTCCAACAGGCTAGTCATCAAGTATGACAATTACACTCACTCATTGATTATGCTATCTAGTGAGATTTACAAACTATATGATAAATAGTAATCAAAACTGGATCGTAAGGCAAGACACTAATAAACGTAGAAACAGTAGTTCATAGTTACTTCACCTCTTGCAAACGAGTTCCATCCATTGTGTTGAAAATTCTGATCAGAGTGCCCTTGGTACTGGCAGTTGCGAGCAGCATACCATCCAAAGTCAAGGTCATGCAGGCGATATTCGAATCATGAGCATTTATTAACTGTACCATGTTAAGCCCAAAGTGTTCAACTCGGACCTCTCCTTGATGAAGACCAGGGCAAGCCAGCACTGATGTATTCGAGTGATGAGAGAGGCAACATAACCCCCTTGGATTTGCCAGAGTTTCAATCTGATGAAGAAGTCTCAGGTCCAAAAAATTGTACACATATATCTTGTGTTCAAGAACAACAACAATCCAATCCCTTCTTAATTTCACAGAACGGATTTCCGACCTAAAAGCAAACTCACTGATGCAGCGGCTCTGATGATCGTCCCAAATCAATACTTTGTTAGAAGCGTACTGAGAATTGGGTCCACCCCCGACGAGTGCCAAGATGTTGCTGCGGAACAGCATCTCTATGATTTTAAACCCACCGTTCTTCAGCTCACGTCTGAAAGTTTCCTTGAAAGGTTCACAGTTATATATACGGAAACCATGGCTTGTGCCGGCAGCAAAACAGCTGTAGTCCTGGTTCCAAGACACAGACACCAATTCTGCTTCTTCGTTCTCATTGAATTCTGGTTCTGGAGGCCTCAAAGAACCAGAAGTGCTTGTGTTGCGGGTTTCATGGCCACCATTACCATCTGGACGAAGAACTCCTTGGGGGTTCGAAATATCTGAACTCATTTTTCTTTTGGTATTAAGCAATATGTAATATCAACAACCACTCTAAACAGGATGAAGCGAAACCCAAGATGTCACCAATACACTCAACAGCGAATATAAATTTGATCTCACTGCGACGAACAGTATGTCACAGAGAGCCCGAACACTGCAACAGAGAAACAAAGAAATTGTTTCACGCTTTAGCTAGCACAATCTTGCAATTAAATAATAATATTAATATTAATAATAACAAAATCGGAGCCACGGAAAACCAACATCAAAAGATTCAGATTCTTGAGAGAATTTCAATACATCCAACCATCATACGCGCCATACACCATTCCATAGCACCAGCATTGAACAAGCTCTCACAAGTTCTGAGTTTGAGATCTGTACTTCATGTTGGATAATTTAAGACATTCTTATAGATATTAACTGTTGACGATGACCCGTCGTGATTGCAATCATTAAAGACATTAATCCAAAAATCGCTCGCATAACCAGAACTCCAGTTCCAAATCATACAGTTATAGTCACTGCGAATTACCATGATTGAACCTTATCTATCTAGAAATTCTGTTTGTTGATCGAGCACTATGATAAACAAATTCCTCATCAGTTCATGCTCCTGCATACGAGGAATTCATAGAATTCTACAATTGTAGAAGAATAAACCCCATCACAGACAAGTGAAGATCCAAATCAAACAATGAACAAAAGAAACGCAAATTGTAAAATATCCTTCACGATCTCCGATTCAATAAAAAAATCAAATGAGATGATTCAACGAATTCTCACCGATGGAAATGAAAAAACGCGAAGAACAATACCTGATCTACGCCGAAAATTGCTCGATCAAACTTCAATGAGAAACTCGCGAGGAGCTACTTCTTGTTCTTCCCCCTCTTCTTTTTTTTTCCTGGTTCTCTTGATTTGATTACGTCCCTATCTCCACCTCCCCTCCCATTAAGTTGTTTTTTTCTTCTTTGAAATTTTCCATTTTTTATTTTATATATTTTTTTCTTTACGTTTGCTCGCGGAAAAAAAAAAAAAAAAAAAAACTCTGTTAAAAAAAATTCTCTTTAACATTTTTTTTTTTTTGACTCGGTCCAGCTGGGCCGCGAACAGTTGGGTTCCACGTCGCGGGGCTCTTGACGGACGCAGTTGAAGTTGCCGTTTCTCAACGAGACAGACAAACTCACGAATACGCCTTGCCGTCACATTTTTTGGGGCCGGGCATATCGCATATGTATAAGTATAACCCAACGTGATGGATAAATAGATTGTTATATTTGTGATTCAAATTTTTCCCTAGTTTTACCCGGAAACAGTCTTTGTATATGGATCATATAAATCCAGAAATTATCTCCCTCTCCACCAGCCAAGAATTAAACACTCAACCTCAAGCTAGAGTTACCTCCTACCCCAAGCTTCATCCACGATCTGTTGGGTTTTCCTTAGTTTTGTTCCAAAGTTTTTTTAATACATTTTAAAATCAGAAAGAATTTATATACTATTTTTGGAATTTGTGATGTGTTTGGATCCGTTTTGCCTTATGAACTTTTGTGTATTTTTAGCCTTTTAATCATTTATTTTTTCCACTTTTTCAATTGCCATCTAATTTTTTGCTGTTTGAATTTCTAAAATGGATAAACAAATTTATTTTCTAAAAATAGATTAAAAAGCATTAGAAAAATGGTTGGCATCTCGCTTGTTTTCGTTTCCTATTTGTTTTTAAGCATATCACAAACATCAAAGTTATACATTAAAAAGTATAACTTTTAATTACAAAATTCGAGGAAATATTTTTTGGAACATGAAATCCGTCGACATTCGACAGTTTGGGTTGGCAGGCATTATTAGGGGCAAATTTTTTTTTTTAATATTGAATTCATTCAATGCTGCTATTTTTCTTTAACGGATTACTAACAATAAAATGTTTTAAAGAACATTACAATTTTATGGAGATCTAAATAATAAAAAGGCGTGTAAAATTGGTTTACAGGAGTTTTTTTTTCAAGATAGCCTAAAAAATTAAATCAATAAAATCTCTCTAAACCTCATAATATTCATATAACATTCTTCATATATCTCAATATAATATATATTTAGAAAAAATCTTTGATAGAAATAGCTTTTTCTAATTTAAAAAGTTTATTTTATTTATGTGTTGGAGCTTTGGATTTTTATTTAGAGTTTAGTTTAAATATAATATGTATTTTAATAATCTAAAAATTATTAATTTTAAAATATTCAAAAGTTATGTTAATTCTGAAACTTTTTTTTTGGCACGTTATTTTTATAGGGTTTTTTTACTCATGGATTATTAAACTAATTACCCTAATTTAAATTGGTTTTTCCCCAAAATAATTGTGTATACGTATGACGATTGCTTTTTTAACTCGAAATTTTTCGTGTTTTCATATTTATTTATTTTTAATTTACCAAAAGTGGGTAGTTGGCATATGTGACAAAATCCATCCAAATATGGAAAAAAGCAACTTAGGCTTTACAATAATAATAATAATAATAATAATAATAATAATAATAATAATAATAATAAAGAACATTATTCCAAGGCAGTGCACCACGCCACGACACTCTCTTCCATGTTAGTAAGGACTCGCTCCCCCACGTAGAGCCCAAATTTAATATCATTTAATTATATTCAATTCAATTTAATATAAAAATTAAAAGTTACATTAGGTACTCAACCAACTCACAGGGGGTTTTCCCACCTTTGTTATGGTTTTGTCAACCATTTCGGTGGAAAAAAAAACGATTTTCTTTGAAAATTATATTATTAAAGAATATAAACATAGATAAAATAAAAGGTTTGTTTTCATACATATATATATGTGATGCTTTATAATATAATATTTTGTAAGAGTATAAAAACTTGAAAAGAAACAGAGAAAAGGTGGATGTTCTTATACATTATACAATATACACATTAGCCATTATATCAAAAATACCATTACTTTGCTATTTCTACTTCAAGATCTACCCTTGTGATCATGTGACCAATATGACCGAAATATAGTGTGGTCATATTTTGATTTTATCGATTATAACGTTAAATTTATGGTGATCACACTAATTCATTATGTTCATACCTTGTATATCTTACTAATCATTTGATTAAAACATCATAAATTTAACATTATGAACAATGGGATCAATATGTGACCACACTATATTTCGATCACATTGGTCACATGGTCACAAAGATTTGTCTTGAAGTAGAAATAGCAAAGTAAGGGTATTTTTGATAATGTCCCACATTACGTAATGGAAACGAACAATTATTTTCTTTTGTAAAAAAAAATCATCAAAATTAAAAGATCGTACGACAAGTTCCGATGTACATATGCAACTTAAAAACGTGATGGATTCCGAGAATTAACTTTACAGGCTTGGAATGCATGCATTCATGCAAGTTGGTTCGTCCCTAAGTTTAATAATTAATAAAAAAAACAATTTATTTATTTTTTTGTACCACTTGTAGTTGTAGCTCCATGAAATCAGCCCGAATTATATGATCCATAATAGCTACACAAAGTATTATATATATATATATATATATGTATATCCAGTTATTGCATTTACGTATTAGAATGAGGAGACATGGAACACGCACTTCTTTGGGAACAGATAAATAATACAAGATCACGTCACGTGGCTTATATTTGTTTATACGTTTATTTATGAAAGGACAAACATATAGAAATAAATAAATAAATCCATATGGTATCTGTATTTACTATATCCATTGCCGGCTTGATATTTCATCATTAACGTAACCACTCGGAATCTAGTTAATTATTTTACTCGTCGAGAGGTACATACACATATATACAATATATACAAATACGCCTATAACAAAAATGTTTAAGCAACATACGAATACGAACATGTACGTACATGTATATATGTACCGCTCGTATATAACATTACAGATATCATCATCATCATGTGTTCTCGGGAAACATTTACGATGATTCTCCTCATCGCATCACGGCCAATTTTACGCGAAAGTGATTAATACAATGAAAAATACCAAAGCCCTTCTCAACTCTACTCATACATACATACATACATACATACATACATACATACATACATACATACATACATGCTAATTAAAGGGTCATTTCCAAAACCATATTTCGCCATGTTTTTTTTGCAAAAAATAAATAAATAAATAAGAAAACAGGATGGTGAAGAGAAAGAAGGAGCTCCCTTCAGTCCAAGCACAGAGAAAGAGGGATGAAAAAGTATCTCCCGCATCATTCACACAGCCACGCAGCAGATTTTAATGTCTCCGATATCATTCTACCGAGTGCTTGAATGAATGAGTCAGCAGATGCTTCTACCCCCTTGTGTTTTCTGTCCATGTCTGAACTGAAAGAAGCTCCTTTTCTCTCTCATTATCACAAGTATGTATATCTATGTATGTGTGTGTGTATATATATATAGATTCAAGATTCCGATTAAGAATATGCATACACTGCACGAATAAACCAAATGTTTTATCTTTACACATGATATAATGCGCCATTGACAACCAGACAAACAAAACCAAGACAACATGTGATGCTATCTGACCCAACGTATCAATGTTTGAGCATATGTTCTATCAATATACGTATACATATATATATTATATATATATATATATATATATATATGTGTGTGTGTACATATTTGTGTCTGTTCCCTGTACTTATGCGTGTACATGTCGTGGATTCTGAACACATATATATACGTACATATCACTACAACACGTTTGAAAAGTCATAGAGTTCAGACGGTGAAACAAGTTTTACTGTTAGCAGTAAGACCACCCCACTGTGGGAAAAGTGAGAGACACAACAGATGGGTCTTGTCAAGAAGACGCAAGCAAGAGACAAGAGACAAAAGCCCAACTATTCATACATCAATCACATGAAAAAATTTCTCTGTGTATTGACTCACAATATTAAATCTGGGTTTCAATTATATGGGAGGTCAAGTCCTGTGCAGATGAACAGATTTTCCTTGATATATGATAATAATAACAATGTTGATAATGATAAAAAAAAAAAATAGCTAGCTAGTTGAACATATACCTATACCTAAGAAGATAGATCCAAAACATGTGTAAAGATATTCCACCACATAGACATATTGCAGATCATGATGGAAGATTCAAAAAAAAACTTCAATTAAAGGAGAAAACTAAGTAAGGGTAAAAAGACATTGGTTGACCAGATTTACCAAGGGTTCAAATGGATCAGATTCTTAATCTGTGGCTATAAGATTCCTAATTACGGGAAAAAGCTCTTCATCAATCATATCATATGCTTGATTTATACCGAAGTTTATGTAAAAAAAAAGGGCTGAAATTGGTTTTCAGACACAATGGATAAACAGCCAAGCATCTAAAAGATGAGATAAACAAGGGTTATAGAAAGAACATGGGTTATACAGAAAACCAGAAAAAAAAAAACCCTAGAACCAAAGCACTGCAAAAAACAAATCTAATCTTTTGAAGCAAGAGAACAAGTTAAAAGGAAAGGTATTATGGATATGGATATATATTCATGAGGAAAAAAACGGATCAGATCTCAGAAGACGCAAAGATATATATATAATTAGTGATCAGACAAAGAAACCCTTACATAGTTCTTGAGCGACAATGATTAGATGTGGATGGTCTGATGAAGCTTGCAGCTGTCTGGAAACCCTAAATCCCTAAGCTCAGCGAAGTAGTGAAGAACACAGTAACTTGACAAAGAAAAGGGAAGATGGTGAAATATAGATTTAATTGCTTTTGCAGTGAAGGGTTTAAAGAAGAACAATTTTTTTTGAAGAAGATGATGATGATGCCGATGGTGATGGTGGTGAAGGGTCACTGTCTTCGTGGGAGTCAGGGAAAGCTTACTGTACCTTTAGATCTCACCATATCTTACACATGACATTCACATACATGGTGATGGAAGAGAGAGAGAGAGAGAGAGAGAGAGAGAGAGAGAGAGAGAGAGAGAGAGAGAGAGAAGCTTATGAATTGTAACTTCGTGGGTTCATGCCGCAGATGCAAAATGCTTTAAGGAAAGTTGAATCCAAGGTTCATTAGTTAGTTTGATCAAACATTTTCAGATAATTGTGTTTATCTAATTAAATGCATCCAAGATATTATTTTCAGTTTTTATAATAAAACCAATGAACTCGAACTGTATAATAAAATAATATATATATAAAGGAGCTATATATATATATATATATATATATATTAAAGTTGGTCATCTCGTCTTTATGCATTCGAGAATCTCACAACATCTGAGCTCAAAATTCTTGTTATTTGTTTATTTATTTTTATTGAGGCTTAATCTGTTTTTTGTTTGGTCATTAATTTGCGTAACACTTGCATATTAAAAAATTGTCATATAATTATCACGAGTTCCATTGATACATTATAGTCAATAAGCTGATTTGCCCAGTCGATAAAAAAATTAATATTCTGAAATATTTATAGACAGCTACATAACTCTAGACTATCGCAAATCTCTTATTTTACAAATAATATTTAAAATAGCTCATTACCAAACAAAGCAACCACAATAGTTTTATTTTTGAAATTTACCTAAAATTGTTAAAATTAAAGGATAATCACATAAAAATACCCGAACTTTTACAAAAATCCCAAATAAATACCCGAACTATAAAATTGTCATATAAATATCTGAACTTTTCAAAACTCCCACATAAATACCCAGACTTTTAAATGTTTTCTAAATCAAACAAACGCAACTGCTGACTCAGCAAAAAACTGCTGACTAAGCAAAAAAAACTGTTGTACACGTCAAGTAGAAAAAACTGCTGATTCGGATATTTATTTGAGATTTTTGTAAAAGTTCGGATATATTTATGTGATTACCCCTAAAATTAAAGCCATTATAATGAGCACGTTTGGTCTCATGTACACGTCAAGTAGGAAAAATATTGGTGTCACAAAATAAAGTTAACATGTATGAAAAAGATGATAAATACATGTGGATCATATCAATACATATAAAAAAATACGACATAAGATTTTTTTTTTTTTGGGTGAATTATTGCGTAGTAAGTGATGGTTCATATGGGGAACAGCATCACCCTTCGGAATAAAGGAATAAAATGACGTATTTACCCCTGCCAAGCTGTCACCTGCGACCGACCAGAATGGGGTTTTTAACCCTAATAACCCACTTGGTTCGCAACAATTTCAGGGTACACCACCGAAAAAAAAAAAAAAATTTGCGACCTTATTACGACTAATATATAACTAATATACAACTAAAATAAGAGTAGTTTATTAGTCGTAATAAGTTGTATATTAGTTATATATTAGTCGTAATAAGGTCGCAAATTTTTTTTTTTTTTTCGGTGGTGTACACTGAAATTGCTGCGACCCAAGTGGGTTATTTGAGTAATATTCCCACCAGAATGTGGGCCGGGTTTTGTTCCTTCCCATTAGGACCGGACCGGGTCCAGCAAAAAAGAAAACACAACACACACGCATTATTATTTTTAAGGCACCTGAATATTTATGAAGAATTTTGACGATGTTTTTAGAATATATACATGTTGATTATAAATTTATTTCTCCAATACATTATTATTGGTGTATTTTTTTTTTCGTCCCTTTTTTTTAATGAAATCACAACAATTTATAAATTGTAATCCATTAATAGCCTTATAGTCCGAAAATAAAAGGTAAAATTCCTCTATCGGGGAAAGTCTGTCGGTTGGATCCAAGATATAATCAAACGAAAAATTCAGAATGTTTTGTAACATGTTAGTAATCAAAATGCTAATAATATGTAAACTCTATTATAATATAAAATTTTTCATTTTCTTTAACAAGGATGAAACGGTAACTTTTTTTACGGAAATAATGTATAAAATATGTAAATTCTATTGTGATAAAAGATTTTGTGTGTTTGGGGATGGGGAGTTCATGTGCAGTTCTTAAATGGAAATAGATTCACGACCGTGGCGGATAGTACGGACTCTGGTTCTACAAAATTAGCAAATAGTTTTGTTATGGTTCTTGAAACCAACCTGCGACCAAAAGGCAGATTAGGTTCCATTATTAAAAAAAAAAAAGACCAGCAAATAAAAAACATGTCCTGATTCTTCTTCTTCTTCTTCTTCTTCTTCTTCTTCTTCAACGTCCTTGACTGGCCCTCCTTTCTTTTTGGGATCCCTTTATATCCGTTGAATCTCGTCAAGTGATTTGTGTTCTTCCAACTCGGTTTTTTTTTTACCCGTCTTTTTTGGCTGAAACAGCTGTAATGCCATGCAAGAACCCGAATCTCAAGTTCCCAGGGTGTAGGAGGTAGACCACTCCCAAAATTTCTCTTCCTTTTTCGACAAATCAATCATGCCCTTTTAACCCTTTTTTCATACGGATCTTTCTGGGTTTTTCCTCGTTTCCCTCAAAGCCCCTCCCCCTCGGCTTCTTCTTTTTAGTTTGGATTTGGTGCTTTTTGATTGGGCGAGTTAACGTGAATCAATGATCGGTTAGGTGGGTTTGGTTTTTAAGGGTTGATGGGGAATTGTTTCACAAGCAGCATTCCTCGTTGTTCAGGAGGTTGCCACTCTTGCTGTATAAAGGTAAGAACTTTTTCTTCTGATCAAGCTTTCCCCCTGAAAAAGATCAAAACTTTAAGGGAGATTAGGGTTCATGTCAATATGATACCCCTAAGTTTCCTTCTGAGGTGTTAGTCCCTTTTTGATGCATTTGAAAAGTAATGTGTATGATCATTCGTATTCCGTTCAAAGTTTGAATCTTTTAGCTGTTGATGTGGTAGCCAATGTCAGTTGCCATAGTTGCGGATGAAAATTTACCCTCAAGTTACCACATGCTGGTGATAGAAACTCAATGTTTTACAGCTGCCATCATGTATATGCTGCTGCAGCAGCAAAGGCAAGGCTCGAATCCAGAGCCAGATTGCATCTGTGGCCAAAGGGAATGTTCATATAGTGGCCAAAATCGACAAATGGGAGGAGAAGATCACAGAAGCTAGTATCAACGGAAAAATCGTAAGGCCAATTCGTTCATTGATTTGGTTTTTTGTTTCCTTTTCAATATACTGGCAGATAGCATTCCCCATCTGACCCAAGCAATTGAAATTCGTTGCATATTCATCCATCTTCCATCTGTGACAACGATAATGACGGGCAAACAAAACAGCTTGTAGCAAATTTCAGCGCATCGTGGTGCATACCCTGTAGAGAAATAGCACCAGTTTACCAGGAGCTTGCAGATAGATACCCATTTATGATATTCGTGACAGTGGATGTCGAAGAACTCGCTGTAAGTTATCACCCTTTGGTTCCTGGCTATACAATTCTCGAGTTTAAGATTCAATGCGATGTTCATTACACATATGAAAACAATTGATTGATGCAGAGATGGTAACAGAGCAATAAAATGGTTTCTTGAGTGCATGTTACGTTTGATTCTGTATGTTTTAGCAGGAGTTCAGTAACGAATGGAATGTGGAAGCAACTCCGACCATAGTTTTCCTGAGGGATGGGAGGCAAGTGGATAAACTTGTGGGTGCCAATACAGTAGAGCTTCAGAAGAAAACCGCAGCAGTTGCAGATCTCGTCCTCAGAAAATCATAAACAGAATATCCATGTCTGAATGTCCGAGAACAGGATCAGAAGTTGCTTGCAGATGAACTAAGTGACAAGAAAAGCTTCGGAGGTTTCGGTAGATGTCTGTTTCAGAAATTGGGTGGCTAACTCTGAAACTTTTCACTCGCAAGACGATCGGTTCTTCGCAATGCCCAAGACGAACTTAGCTTTCAGACATAGAAACACAGTGTTTCAAGACGATGAAGTTGCAGAGACGAATCTATGGTGAAAACCGGGTTTTGTCTCCAATTTGGAGGGCTTGGCCCTTGAGAGAGACACCCACTGGTTCTGTCTTTTTGTTTACAAGTCAGTTGAAATTCCAAAACTTTTTTTAAAAATTTAATGCAGTTTTTACTCCAAACTCAGATTCAGAGGAGCCTCCCGAGAAGGGCGAAAATTCTCTCTTTTTGTTTGCGTAGTGTACAGCTCGAAAATCTCAAGACAACACCTAAAGAAAAGAACTAAACTTTCCCCGCTGGAAAAACAAGTGACTTAAACATCAATAATGAATCTGTTTCTATGAATCTGACTCTGACCCTGAATCCGTTTCTGCATCCAAATGCACGCCAAAGGGCTTCATCCTGTTTGTGTTAGCCTCCAACGGAGGTAAGCCATCATCTTCGCTCGAATCTGTTTCATCATTCTCTTCTTGCTCTGTGGTGTGCCTTTGAGAGCATTCATCAGCTTCCTTTGACTTTGCGTCTCTGAAGATTTCCGGCCTGCATTTGCCACATAAATCTTAGGGAAGAAACATCCAGGGGCTGAAACGAGATGCCATTCACACACTCGAAAACCTAAGAATAGAAATGATAGAAGCTCTACCAGTCCGGAGTCTTTTGAAGGGCACGGACTTGCTCATAGAATAGAACTTGGCAGACAATGCATGCCACTTTGCTACCAGACTCGAGAGCCTTTTCCTTCCCCGTGTGATCTACCACCACAAAACTTCCTGCAAAATCAGTGCAGCGACAGAGATTTTCCAAGTTTCATTTGGAAGAAACCACACATAAATGTAGCAAAAAGCTGTCATAAACTATTTGCTGCCTGAGGTGAACCGAATCATCGGAGTAGAAACGATCCAAACTAGAGGTCTTATATTCTCACATGTGGAAACTTAAAAGAGGTAAATGCATAAAGAACACAACTTTACTTTACCCAGAGAGGCAATGTACAGAATCCAAATCATATGAAACCAAAAAGCCGGTCTAGAACAATGCAACGAGGGTGGATGTTTAGTGGCAGAATCTCTTTCATGTAGTCTATGCAAAGATTAAGTGAAGAGTCTATCAACTTCTACATTTGACACTTGAAACATAACCTCGTTTTATCCACATGCTCTTCTGGAATTTGGCTGGAAACAGTGCTAATGATTTCTCTCCTTTAGCATCCATTACCTTAAAACAGACAAAACCAGTTGTTAGGAGAAACAATGGACAGAGAAACTACCATAGCAAAGCAACCACAAAGCGGATTCTATTTGACGTCATCTGCATTGGTCGACTACTTTGCGAGACACAAAACATACACAGAAAGTACAGATCTTTCTACAGACATACACAAAGGTGACGGACCCATTTGAATCAAAGAGAAATCAGAGTGAAAATCCCTCGAAAAAGTAACAGGAAGTTCACGAAATTGAGTAGAGGAGCGAAAATAAGTGCAAAAAAGAGAAACCCTTTTCTACCTCGATGAGATTGGAACCTCTGAGAGACACGACCTGGACAATGCTCTGGCATTCCTCAAGCGTCAGGCTCCGCTCCTCCGTCGCCTTTTTCAGATTCTTCCTTCCCGCTTTCATCTTTTCTACGTTTCAAATCCGTCCAGAATCAACTGTAACTACGAAACAAACACAAAGGGGCAGAAACAGATGAAGATCGAGATTAGGGTTTTGTTGTTGTTGTGCGCAGAAGATTTCAGTTTCCGTCGAGAAGTAGGGAAA